TCATTTGCAAGATGGAAGGAAACTGGAAAACAAGCAGGAAACACTGCAAACAGGTCTGCCTGTTTTTACTATATTATTCCGCATCTGTATTATAAAGAAATAATTTGTTTTTGAGTATTTGAGTACCTAGTAACGAAATTAGTAACAGCTTGGCATCTAGGCCTACTTTTTTTTTTTAAATAAAGGCCCATCTGTAGGAAATATCTTTTTTTTTTTTATATATAAAGGCCTATCTATAGGAAATCTTTACAGCAAGCATTTTAAATTAAACAATCATATCGAATTTTTTCTATCATTCCTATTTTCTGTACAAGTAATAACATCCGGGAGTTTTCGGCTCTTGATCCTTTTAAAAGACGTCATGTAACCAAAATGCGCATGCGGGGGAGGGTGCATACAAAATGAGTTCATACGGTTCATACCGTATCGAAAAAGTGAGTATCGGAAGTGCTATTATTAACTAGGCAGCAATAATGGTTATTAGAAAAGAATTGTAAGTTTCTTTAACTTATTTATATAAAATAATGTATCATACTAATGTTATTAATATATCAGGTATTATGTGCTTTATATGAACTGTAGTAAAATCTTGGTTATTACTCTATTTCTCGCTGATCTGAATAGCCTAGGCTAGGCCTAACTTACGTCGCGACGATTCACCGGCCGGCGGTGTGAGACAACCAGCTATTTCTCCCGTTACAACCCCGGCTCTGTTCATTACAGTGAATATCCTAGGCTTAGGTTACCGGCGGAAATTTAGGCCCATTTTATAGATTTTCATATAAAGAAATATTCGTGATGACTTATATTTCCTGATTTCCACATTTCTTTTTTAAGCATGGACGATTCAAATTTTTCAGATTGCTGATTGTGGTGTCGTTTAAAAACAAAATAAAATTAAAATGAGATAACGTAGAGACAGCAATAGGCAAGGGTAGGCATAACCTAGCCCTGACTAGGCCTAGCCTAACTGGCTGTATCTGTACGGTCTTGTGCAAACACCTTCTAAGGTTGTCGTCGCACGTAGGTTGGAGTGTAAGTAAAGCAGTTAAACTGTAGGGAGTGTGTGGTTTGCGAGAGTTCTTGAATATTGATAGAGGCCTTCGAGCTTACAAACTCTTAAATAATAAATATGATAATTCTGTATCTAGTTTTTTGCACCTAAATACTTTTGATAGAACTCGTGGACATTCACTAAAATTATTAAAAGAGCAATCATGCATCGATGTGGGCAGGTTTTGTTTCAACAACCGTATTGTTGACAACTGGAACGCTCTTCCGAATGAAGTTGTGACAGCATCCTCCCTCTATTTGTTTGAAAGTGGATTAGATAAATTCTGGAAGAATCAACCAGTACAGTTTGACTACATACAAGGCGAAAATACAAAATTCCAGAATACCGGTTTGCCTCTGGATATAGAGGACTTTAGTCCTGCATCCAGTACATCACCTAAGTAAGTGATGCAGCGCGGCTGTCATGGCAAGCGATTTTTTGGATAGAGAATGGCATTAACAGTTTTTATTTGAAGCGATGCTTAAGTACGAAAGCAAGTCGGTCTGTCTTGTCCTATAGGCCAGCCTGGCCGAAACTTTAGTAGGGCCTTGCTAGGACCACACTGTAAAGTAAGGCCTGCTTGAGGAATACAGTATATCGGTGCCGGTACGTTCCAGCGTTTGTTTGAAACGAAAGTAGGTTAAATCCCCGCAATCTATTTTATTTCAGTCTAAATAAGGATAACGATTTGGACCAATGTCGAGAAAAGGTAGAACAGAATCGTTAGTATAGTCATGGAGTAGAGGTGACAGATTTGCGGCAAGTCGAATGGCCAAGCGGTTAAGGCATGGCGCCGCAACCTACAGCCATACAGTAATATCGGCGCTGGTTCGAACGGCACTCTCGCCTATGGTTCTGGAGGTGGAACAAGTCTTTTTAGATAAAGACTGTAATCTGCAGGCCCAGTGTACACAATTGGCTCATTTTAAAGAACCCAATACATGTACATCTTTTGGGAATATTAGTAGAGTGTTACCCTGGTTTACTGGTCCATACATCCCCTGTTGTCTTGTGATGGGATTATTAATTATTTTTTTAAAGATTTTTGGTGGAGGGCGGAATAAAAAGGAAATTTTGTTTTCCTATTTAGCAAATCATCCAGACGGAGGAGAAAATAAAAATAAAATTTTATTGGTGAATGTAAAATGGGGTGTTTAAATGCTTCAAATTTATATAATTAGGAAGTACATATCTTATCTTTGGAGATTTCAAGACAGCGGAGGGCGTAATAAAAATAGATAAAAATTTTTATTTTTTTTTTAAATTTCCACTTTTTCGTGGCGGTGGATGCGCTAATTGGCCAAAAATAAAATTTTATTCGAAATCATCAATATTTGCAGTCGGCGGGTTCGCTAAAAAAATTCTCGTCTACGCAAACTTACATTTTGGTTTTACATTTAACATTACCATGACTCTCTCAGCGTGCATGATCCATTCATACAAAAACGCGTTATATTACAGCAATATTACTGCAATATTTGGTTGGTATGAATGGTTTATGTCGTTAATTGTAACGGTAATTATTACTGCAATATTACAAGAACTTCTGTCTGAAAACAGCTTATGTTTCAGCCCAAGGTGCGACTTTTTCATGAAGATGTTTATGATGTGGCTGCATTTCATCAACAATGATCCTACAACAGGGGTCCCAAGTTTGAAGAAGCCGATTCCTGGAGATCTGCAGTGGCGGATCCAGGAATTCAATATATTGTAGAGGTGGTCCAGGAAGGGACTTTCACATATGAAGGGCGTAGACTACCTCAGCCCCACCATGGTTGGGACTGAGGTAAGGAAATTTATGATTACAGTATGGCATGTCTAGATGGCCGGAAAAGGCACACTCGGTCTTAAATTTGATAGATTTTTTTTTTTCATTTTTTGATAGTTTTGAAAAATTTAACAAGATGGGTTAAAGTATTTTCCAGCAGATTCTTTCTTGCTTGCGGGAGTACGAGAGTCCGTTCCAATTTCCAGGAGACTCCCCGCGTTGTGGGAAACTTGGGACCGCTGCTTTAATAACATTAGGTCAATGTTAAACTGGACAGAACAAATGTTATCTAATGTCTTACCTTATCACCTCTTATTCCACCATGTGAATGGAGTCTGTGAAAATGTTTAAGATTATTTGGCTTAAACTAGCATTAATTCTTAACCTTTCATTTTTATGTATACAGTAGTATTAGTTGAAGTTTATTGGTTTGTACTAACATCTGTGAAATATATGTGTATTTTTAACCTTTTTTTGCGATGGACAAAAATCTGTTGTAAAGTGTGATTTTGTAACATTTTGTTATTATCATGTCACTATAAACTTACATTGGATATTGAATTACTCTCCATTTTGTTTTCAGTCGTGTCCATCTACCTTTATCAGTACCAGAGGTAGGTGATTTTAGTTTAAACTGTTTTGCTAAATTGATATATAAAAAAGTCATCTATTTTTGGAAGGGTTTAAGAGAATTTGACATTTACAGTGTTCTCAGAATTTTTAGACTGTGACAATTCAAGAGTGGTTGCTTTTGTTATGATATACAATGTTCCTAGTTAAAATATAGCTTTTTGCCTTCCTAATGATATGCATGCTACAGTATATTGAGTGAAGAGTTGAATCATTATTGCACAACTCAATTATGTCAAAGGTAAATACAGAGTAACAAAAGGTAAAGTATACTTTACGACAATGGAGAAACCATTTATAGCAGTGGATTTCATCATTGCTATCAATAATACAAAAGCCTATAAACTATCATATTGTACATAAGAATATTACTGTCCATTTTATTCTCTATAATGTGGACATAGTGTGCTACATTATATGCTTAGGAATATTCAGATTAATAAATGTAAGAAAATAACATCTTTCCTACCATGATAGTTATCTAAGCTTTGTATTATAGATCTTTATGTAAATATGCTTAGGTAATGGATAATAGTTTTTGGATTGTACAGTACAGTATACAGTACTCTGTAATCCGCCTACCTCTTACTGTTAATATTGACATAAATTAACAGGCTCCATAAAATTGGCAATAAACTATGCAATTACAAGAAACACAACCTTTAAAAATATTTATAGTGTATCCTTAAGTTTCCTATAAAACATAAGGTTATTTTGTTAGTTTCAGAATCTGTCACGAACACAGAAAAGTTTAACACAACAATGCTTCTAATCAATTTTGTAGAGTAGTTTTGTTGTGATGGCATTTTGCATATAAATCAATGGTAGCAATATAATGGTGAGATCCATATAGATTTGTGTGAGATTACAGGTCTGCAACAATAGCCGGTTACAGTATTCTAGGCATTCACCCTTGACTAAAACAACAGTGTTTTCGAATTGTCTAATTTTACACAGAATCAGCATTGACAACTGTTCGCTGGCTGATAATAATTACTAAGTACCTTTACTGTAGTAAAGTACATATATACAGTGCATCCTCCATTCCGAGACCACTTTTTCAAAAACCAAATGACACTCATCAATCTTTTATCACAAAGCTACAGTAACCCTCTAATTGGAGACCGAATGCAGAGACCACCCCATATTTTCTGGTCCCAAAGTGGTTTCGAATTGGAGCGCAAACTGTATATTGAATTGGGGATAATTACAGTAGGTAGTCTACATTCCCTGTCTTCCATAATTTAGATTTGACAATTGACTAATAAAGAAAAACTTCGATGTCATTTCATGTTTAAAAATAGAATCGATCGTTGAGTTATTGTATAGAATATTGATAATATCCATTAATCTTAATATTACTGTATAGTTTGCAAATTTCAGGAAAGTTCATACATTATATATAGTAATAATTTAAGATTTATTTAGCACATCACGTTGAAGCTACCTAAAGGAGTTATACAAAAATCACAGTGGTTAAAAACATCAAGATTTAAACACAAAAAGTACAGTAGAAAACAAAGTACAGTTTACTAATATTGTATAACCTACAGTAATATAATAACCTGAATTACCTTTGATGAGATGTAAGTTGCATTAGCATTTTAAAATTCAGATCTGACTATTTTCTGAACTTTAAAGATGATTTGTTGAATTGGTAATATTAATTCAAAGTGTCAATATTAAGAGATTATTGCTTTCTTTCTCACTATAAAAGCAAATAAAATGATTATTAATATTATTATTAATTATTATCTTTTTTTTAGTACCAAGTTGCTCAATTATGGTCAGTAGCAAAGGCAAGCAAAGAGAACACTGGTGGTGGAGAAGGAATAGAAGTTATTGTGAATGAACCATTCACAAATGAAAAATATGGTTCTGGGCAATATACACATAAAATTTATCACTTGCAAAGGTAAGTAAGTTAGTATTTGCTGTCTTTATCTTTACATATTTGGTCTTCAATTAGATGTTTGGCTGTGTCTTTTCAGATATTGATAGTTTGGTTCTTTGAAAAAGTGGTCTCGAATTGGAGGGCGAACAGTAATTTGAATCCATACAGAATGTCATTTTTAATTTGGTTTGAGCAAACGTACTTGATGAATAGGGAGTTAATTACAAACTCGTCATGACATCAGTAATCGTCAGCGAAGCCTACGGACTGTACTAATACATAATAAGTAACCTGATTAGAAGTGGCATTGATCAACTACATTATGTGTCCATACATTATTATTGAAATTATTTAAAAACCATGCCATATATATACTGTATTATCATGGGTGTCCAGTTGAGATTTTGATTGTTATTGTTGACGCAAACTGTTACAACAAGGAACGCAATGCCTATGGGTGTGTTTCTACTGGAACAGTTCATTTATCATTAATCAGATTATGCTGTTAAGGGCTAATCACTGTAACGAGAAATCATTCTAGTCCTGCTGGACACGGAATGGGTCTTTTCGTACTGTCAATCAAACTTAACAACTAAACGATCAGAACATCGCTAAGAATACTCCCTTGTCCCACAAACGCACGTCTGTACGTACGTTTACCCTATCATTTTGTGGGACCTTATCCCAAATATCCAAAGGGGCTGGGCTTACCTTAGCTGAAGAGTCCATTAGTTTTGTGCCAAAAAGCGTTTGTTCAGCACGATGCTTTAAGAATGTGGTTTATTTTTATTTCCTCATTTCTGCTTCCACAGGAAATTGCACTTTGAGAGAATCATTCCTAGAAACTGTTTTTCTTAGCCAGTAGAAAATACCCTATGACACTAGATTGGGAGTCAGTAGATAAGTCAACATAAAAAGAATATATTGGTCTTTAATAACAATGTATATATTAAACAATCATATTTTATGACAGTCTAAGTTGAGTCTAGACCAACAGTTAATCAATTTAAAATGTTTGGACAGTAATTTATTTTCTATTCATTCTAACACCCATATATTCTACTTATTAATGAGATGAAAATCTTTTTACTATAAAATGAAATAATAAATAAATAATTATAAATGGTTTTTCATAAAATAAATGAATAAAATAAATAACTGTAAATAACTAAGGCCCTGTATGCATGGAGATTGTAAAGCATACAGTAGTGTTGTTGCTAAAAGAGACAGATTTAGCAGCACGTTAACTGTACTTAATATCAAACAAATGCTTTTTTTAGTTTGGCGTGGTGATATTATTTATACCATGTTTTTAGGGGTTTTCTTCTTGTGAAACTAATTCATATAATTTAAAAAAATGATAAAACATATTGTTGTAGAAATACAGTAGGGCCGTGATGAACACTTACTATGTTCATGTTTTTAAACAATAGTCAAATCAGTGTAAAATATTATTATAGGATTAAAGAAAATAATAATTTGATAGAATTGACTACTGTAAACCAACAGCTGGAGTATTATTGATTTTATCAGGGTTATTATTAATACTGATTGGTTGCTAAATTGATACATTTAGACAACACCAGCAACATGACCGGTAGATATTAATATTTTAACTATGGGCAGAATCACCTGGTACTGTATCTTTTTAGTTTGTAATTGTTTCATACCATATTTTTGTATTGAAATTATCTTCATCAACGTTGGGACAGAATTAAAGACATTTCCAACTCTACTACTGTGTTAATAGGAACGTAATGTTTTTTTCCATGGGTAATAATAAAAAGTGTTTGAACATTTAATTAAAAAAAAAGAATAAAAAATCAATTATTATTAAAAAATACATTGGCTACTGTACTTAAACAATACTTGTATACATGTCCACAATATATTGTTAGAGGCTGTCTATATGTATGATTCTACAGTACTGTATGTTTTTATGATAATTATGGTAACGATTTTGTACTACTAGCATATTGTACAGTATATCTTGCAGGTATGGTTTTACTTTAAACTAGATAAAGGGAAGACATTTCAGTTAATTTCCATTAATGATATCTTTCATACTTGTCCTAAAATGTGTGGTTCCTTGTCTTCCATTATTTCCACAGTAAAGTTCCAAAAACAGTTGCTCGCCTGGCTCCTAAAGGAGCTCTGATTTTCCATGAGGAAGCATGGAATGCCTATCCATATTGTAGAACTGTGTTCTCTGTAAGTGAGACAATGACACACAACAACTGGATGGTGAAGGCTACATTTGTTTTTGATTTCTTATGCTTCTTTGTTATTTAGTCTAAATGACATTTCAACATTTTAGTTCTTGAGACTGATAAGCTTTAAAAAGTATTCTATCAACCAGCATCTGTCAACATCAATACCATTTTAAATGTCAATTTTGTTTTTCGATTAGCCATGTTTTTGTATAATATCATATTGCAGAAAAACAAACATCATTGCCATTACTTTTTATTTTTCTTCAGTCTCCATATCTTTCTCCACAATGTTTTTTTTCCACTTTTCATATTTAATTTTAAACATTGTCATCATTAATCAATAGCATCATCACTGTTACTTCCATCTTTGTTGCCATCATCACCTTTACCTTCGTCATCATTGTCATTTTCATTTTTTTCACCATCGTCATCTTTACCTCTATCGTCATCATCATTACTACATCATCATCATCATCGTTACAATCATTGTTTAACTCCATCATCATCTTTATCCCATAATTTTAACTAGTGGATTTAAAATTCATCTAATTCCGTGTCCCATTAAATGCCCAACAAAAGCTGTCAGCAACTGTACTGTACGTAATCCCTAAATGCTTATACTGTTTACAATATCTCATTTTTATTACCCGTCATTGGATTCTTCTTATAATTAACTACATATTGCTCTTCATTTTTTTGCCACCTTAGTTCCATTATTAAATGTCATCTTTTGTTCATCTTTACATAAATTATATTAAAATTCATTGTCTGATATGGTATTAACATAAAATATGACATACAATATATTAGCCTTTGGACTTTATTAACTAAACTGTTGTGGAGTTAATCAAGGTTAAATAACAAAGAAGCTTGGTTTATTATTATCTTATTATGGTTCCACATGTTCTGCTTAGATACTCTGAGCCCAGAACTGCTGTTTTCTGCTCCTTCTAAATCCCAGACTGTTCGTAATCTTAAATTTACTGGTGGTGGAAATATGAATTGATATCTATTACATGTAATGTTCATTTTGAAATGTGTAACCAATGTAAACAAATTACGTTGTACATCATGTCGTAAACCATATATCACTATTATTGTTAATATTATTATTATTATTATTATTATTATTGATAATGAATTTTTGTTTTGCTTTTCCTGCATTGGACTACTTCTGGACAATTGTTTTCTGGATGTGCAGCAATATTTTCTTTGTTGAAATAAAGATAACTGTTTATTTAGAATTGTACAGAGGTCATAATCATAAATCTGACTTCATGCATTTCAAGTGACTTTACCTAATAATATGAAAACCATTTATTGAGATTTTTTCAGTTTAGCTATTCCTTCATTTGAAATTGTAGTCTTTCCTTTATTTTGACAACTCTTAGGAGAATGATAATCTATGCTCCAGAAAAAAACATCATGCCCATTGCAATATCTTTTAAAAGAACTTTTGGAAATGTTTGTACTAATGTAATTTTTTCCAGTAAGTAAAGTTAAAGTAGAAAATTGTCATGATAAAATTAACATATAAATTTATAAAATAATATTTTGTGTGATTGTTGACTGTGTTCTAAAATGTTTTGAATATGATGTGTGTTTTTTGTCACATGTTTGTTTTTTGACTCTTTCCTTTTTTGCATCCCCTTTTCCTTCCCAGTAAAGTACCAGCTTTCATTCGACTTTTAGCCCCTAAGGGGTCTTTAGAAATGCATGAAAAAGCGTGGAATGCGTATCCATATTGCAGGACCGAAATATCGGTAAGTACGCCTTAGATCGTTCATCCATAAGGGTTCGTGTACCTTTGCTCATTTCTGAATGTGCTGAAAAAAGGACAATTTAAATGTAATATTAAGTAAAAATACATTAATTTATTGCATGTATTTTTATTAAATGTGGATTTGTGATGGTTTTTTTTTTTTTATGTTCATTGATTTGTGGTTGTTATTGGGTTTTTTCCTTTCCTTTTTATATGTTTGGAGATTTTGTTCTAACAATTAGATGACCATGTGTGCTTTGGCCAATGGTATAACACCAAGTACACTTATTTTTTATTTTTATCCATTATTGCCTTTGTTGCTCAACCTGGGTGGAATAACTGCTCTCTGGCTGGCTGCTGTTTGCTTGTAGCTGTTCCCTGGAACAGCAAGATGGTGACTTCTGATTCCCTGCCACTCTGATCTATGGCAGTGGATCCATTCAGCGGATCCATTCAGCAGCACTCATATTTTAATGCCAGTACACATCTGGTGGCAACTTCCAGATGGGGGATCTAAATGCTTAAAAAATTTAAAAATTATAATAAATTATATTCGAATTTAAGTCTGAGAGTGCCATTCCCGGCCATCTACCTGTAGATGTGCCATAATCATAAATTTTATTGAAACCCTTATCAGTGAACATCTTTCAAAGTTCGTACACTATTAAGCTGGTTACCATATAATACCATTTTCAAAAGTACTGTATATTTTAATAAAATCAACTACATAATATAGCTTATACCATGAAATTATAATTCTATGGTCACTTATATAGTGTAAACACCCTGCCTCTGTGCATTTTGCCTTAAATGATCATTTGATCAACAATTTACTGTTATTTTTTACTTAATTTTTTGTAGAATTCTTACATGAAGGATAATTTTGCTTTGATTATTGAAACCATGCATGTAGAAGATGATGGACAACAGGAAAACGTAAGGAATTTTCTCTAGCGTTTAACAAAACTGTGTCGTACAGCACACTATGAATTTATTCCATCGGGCATGTACAATATAAAACAGCACATGTACATTATGCATTCATATCACCAAGATTAGTTACAATATGAAGGCATGTACAAATATGAAACTGTACTGTACATTTACACTTCAATTCATACCATCAGGCATTTACATTGGGCCAAAAAAATAGTTGTTTTTTTTGCCCTCCTCCACCCGCCCCTAACTCACTGAAAAAAACAGGGGAGGAAAAACGAAAAAAACCCTTTTTTTTTCATTATGAAGGCATGTACAATACATGTACGCTACTGTATATCTTCAGGCATGAACAGTATGAAACATTTACAATATACATTCATACACCAGGCATTTACATTATGAAGGCATGTACAGTGCATGTATGCTATATAGTCATGTCTCCAGGCATGACCAGTATGAAACAGTACATGTACACTATACATTTATACCATCAGGCATTATTTACATTATGAAGGCATGTAGAGTTCATGCTTTCAGCTATTTATTTAGAACAGTATTTACAGTACACTATACAGTGCATTCATGCCATATGGAATTTACAATATAAAATAGCACATGTACACTTTACAATATGTATGCAATCATACAGTATTTGTTTGCATGCTGCAATTTATAAAGGAAAAATCCATTTCAAGTTTAAACATTTTATAGGTGTCACCAATTTTTAAAAATATTATGAAGGTTATATTCAAAATTTTTATCGTGATAATTGCAACTTTGCAAGTTGTAATCAACGCTTTACGGTTGTTTGGGCGTTGCACGATATGTGATGGTCGCATTGAAATGCAACTTTACTGTATTACAATATGGTCATGTACATTTTGATATTTTTACATAGATTCATAAATTGAGTCCAGAAGAGTTAGCAACACGAACAGTAGAACACATTGATATTGCAATGGATCCAATTGAAGAAAGAGTAAGAACCTTTGACATTTCTATTAATGCATGTTACATACTAATAATTGCATTTTATTTAAGTAATTTATAATTTAATGTAATCATTTCATGTACAGTACTACCAATTATATGTTTAAAAATAGTATATGTTAATAGGCTATTGGTTGAATTACGGTTTTATAAAGAGTGATGTAATTTTGCGTACACTTGGCTCTGTTGTAAGTAGAGCCATTGTTGTGTTGCACAAAATGGATCGTTTTAATGACCGCAATTAGCAGACGGTGTTATGTCGTCAAGTGTTCACATAGAGCAGGGATGGATTTGTTGTATGCCAAAGTGCGTGCCCGTCTTAACTAAGATATGTCTGTTAGGCAACACAAGTACAATGCCAGCTATGTGTAAGATAGAATTTTGTGAAAGGTCAGAATTTCCATTTTCCCATTTTACAGATTTTTCTATAAATTATTGTTATGATGTTTTTTCTCCTCTAGGATTATAAAGTAGAAGAAGATCCAACAAAATTTCATTCTGAAAAAACTGGAAGAGGACCCCTTGGTGAAGGCTGGCAGGTATTTGTACTATTAACTACAAGTTGGAGTAGGTTGGGGTTAAGAGGCTTACCTCCCAGGCAGTGGCATAATTGGGGGTACGAAGGTGGAGTTAGGGCCCTCGATGATTATGTAAGGGGCAATAGGTCACAAAATGAGGTGATATGAGGTGATTGTTTTTTAACTACATGAGCAGATTTTTTTGCTTTGGACCTTTTCAAGGGCTTTTTGTCAATATGGCACCCCTGATCAGACTTGATAGCTGTTGTTGTGTAAATGTTACATGGTTCCGTTTATGTACGAGCTGTACGTGCATTACACAAACAGAATGTTCTTATTTCGGTATTAGCAATTTCAAAGATCATTTGGAAACCGTTTAAATCAAAGGAGATCGTTTTAACTTTACCCTTGTTTGTTTATGCATAACTGCACACGCCGGCTTGTTTGCCTCTATATTGAGTTGACCCTTTCAAAGAGAGCAAGCCAGTAACGGTTACCGCAATATTGCGGCAATATTACTAGGTGCCGAGGTGGTTTAAAGTAAGCCAGCATATTGGCGTATATATTCTTTCAGACAGAAACCCATACCAGCGTGTGTACCGCAATATTACGGTATTGCAGCTCTGTTTGAAAAGGGCTTCAGATTATTCCATCCTGTATAAGCAGTTTTATTGTGTATGAATATCTTATTCATTTATTTATTTTATTTTATTTTATTATTTTATTATTTTATTCTTTTTCCTTTTTTACAGATCC